AAATCCTAAACCCGAAGCCCAAATCCAAATCAAGAGGCCCACCATGCGAAGCAGATGACTGGGGGCCTCATTTCTGTGGCTCTTCGCATGGGCGCGGACCTTGGGAGTTCCAAACTAAAAAGAGTTTAGGGCTTAGCATTTAGGATCGGGCGGCCAATGTTTTCCCTGGCTGACCTTGCTCCCAGGAAACATTTTTTTTTTTGTGTGGGTGGGGGGGGGGGTGGGGTGTCCTACCCCTCTATACACCCTGGTTCCCTTTTAATTTACCTTCATTATCCCTTCATGGCCTTAGTTAAGAGGGGAACCTTGGGGGGTTTAGTATAGAGGAGGGGAACCCATGACACGATGCTTAAATAGGGAGGCTTCAAGTTCAACAGTTAGAAGGGACACAAGTTTTTTTTGTCTTCCTTGGATGTGAAGCCCAGGTTGGGGCTAAGGGACTGCAGCTTAGGATTTCAGTGCCGGCGTCTTGTAGGAGCCTTTTTTGATCAGCATAAAGCTTTTGGGAATACGTGTAGTTTCTACAGTTGTACAAGGATGGGTTTCAGGCTTCTGCAGTGGACCCTCCTTTTACTAGCCCCATCCGCATCCGACCGCTACATGATTTACGCACGCTCGCGTTTGATTCTCCAGTATTCCCCGAATACTCCCCAAATGCTGTAGGTGTTGGGTTTCAGGTCGAGGGACCCTAAACCCTAAACCCAGGGCTTCTATGAAGACGACGGCTCTGAAGAGCAGTCATGTTGCCTGCGCTACAAAGGTTCTGAGTATGAACTCTGCTGATGAGAGCTACTTCCTGCTTGCTAGTATGAGCTAAGTAAATATACTCCCTATGCAGTCCCTAGAGAGAATGTTTTCATTTCCTCAAAAATCCCAGTAAGGCTACGCATCCAACACCCGGGTCTACCTGTTGCTTCATGACTTGGGCTTCCCTCTTCGGAATCTTGGGGAGAGGGTGAATGCCTCAGCAGACATCCCAAAATTAAGGGGACCCTTTGAGGGTCCCTATAATAAGGACCAAAGCACAGGCATCTATACTGCGGTCCCCCTATTTGGGGGAACGGCCGTCTCCTTGTCTAGGGCGGAAATATCGCATGGTTCCAAAAAGCTGTTCGCGCAAATAAGATGCGTAGGTGGGCATACTTGAGCACTAACAAAACAAGGACGCCCCTTAAGGGGTTCAGGGTTTAGATCTTCCAGCATTTGTGAATCCAAAGCTAACACCCAGGCGGACGCGACACGCTCGCCGTGCTCCAGGCCCTAATGATGCTTCTTCACTAGGCTTGTGCATCTTATGAGGAAAACGTGGTCCAGAGCTTGCCAAGGTGGTCCAAACTCAATGGTTAGGGTTTGGAAAGGTCATCATACAAGGGTTTCTCAACACCTTGGTCCTCGCAAAGCGAGTGTCAACTTTTTTCGGGGATGGCACTGTAAAGAAAACACCAAAACGTTGAAGTCTAGACCCTGTGTAAATGGCTCCCTGCAAAGCCCTTCTTTTGAGCTGCATGGGTACGTAACAACTCCCTACAGGGTGCTTGGCGCGTGGTAAGGAAGGAGTGAACGGAGCTCTTATAAGAAACCTATATGACGCCCTAAGTATGGTAGTCATAGTCCCTACCTAGGACCCATTCTGCAAGACTGCGTTGAGCCCGTTTTTTCATGCACCCCACCCTGGCCTGAAATGTGCCGTACCCGACCCAAACAAACATGGCGCCCCAAACCAGGGGAAGGTTTAAAGATAATTGTTCATGCCTATTGCTCTTAATCTCTTATAACCTTCATACATCTAGAGAAACTAGATTTTTACAGGGCCCCCAAACCTGCGCTAGAAAAGTGGCCTCAGAAAGATTACTGTCCTTGTTGAAGCGGGGCCTTTCCCTGAACTTAACACGGAAAGCCGGAGCGGCCCCTTCTCTACAGCGGTCCCTTTCCAGTTTTCCTTGGTGCAGGGTTTAGGGTTTAGGGTTTAGGGGAACTCGGAGAACATAGCAAATCCAAGCAACAACTGCTTTGGAGAGGCCCGCTATGCCCCACAACTTTGGATTTTCATGCTGACAGCGCCCTGCTTGCTGAGCAAACTTCTGTTCCCACCATGTCTTTGGTGCCAGGCACCCCACTCACCTACAATTTTGTAGTAGTTGCGTTTAACCCGACAAGCTGTACGCCATTGGGGTTACAGGAACTGACTTAGATTTGTTTGATTTCTAGTTTCCTCCTGGGGAGAGTTGACACATAACGCTTCTGTCGGGATGAAATGAAATGAGAGTTATTAATCTCTGTAGGAATCAGGCGCGCCGTGAACCGTAAACCGTGTGGCTTTGGCAGGCACTTGTGGAGGATTGCGAGGTGGCCGGCAACCTGGTGTTTGTAGAAGTCTCGGGTGCGCCCTAAATTTTTTTTACTGGTGCCTGAGGGCATGGAGAGCGTGAAGCAGAAGAACGAGCCTATTGTTTAGGGCGTTAAAGGTACTTCTCAAAATTGTCCCTTTGCAATCTAACAGAAGTACCCCTATGATCCGCTTATCCGGATATATCCCGAGGGTTTCAAAGGGCCCTTCCATCTTGCGACAGTCCCATAACCCGAAACCCTAAGTATAGGGGCACCTAGTAAGAAGTAAACTCCAACTTCAGTCGAGGTTCACCTAGGAAACAGAGACCCACTCTCGGATTCTCCCTTAACCACGAGTAGGCAAAACCCTCAGCCCAGGTTCCCTAAGATAAGCTGCAAAAAGCCGCCCAAAATCCAACGCGCACTCCAGGGTTGTGGCTTTAGAGGCTGGTTGGGGTTTAAAGGTTTTAGGCTGCGGGGTTTAGGCTTTAAGGCGCGGTTCAGGTTGTAGAGCTGATTTGAAGCCCCAAGTGCCATCTTGGCCCTTGGCTTACAATGTCAGATGTTTTTCTTTTACCGACCCTTGACGTAAACCTGACTATCCAACAACACAATTCCACACTCACCTTATTTCATATTTAGGGCTAAGCACCATTCCACACTCACCTTATTTCATATTTAGGGCTAAGCATCACGTGGACTTGTTGCTCGGATCTAAATTTCAAGGATCATCCACTTGTTCTGCATGAGCACTATGTCCCCATCATAAGCCCATACACTAGCCCTGCAGTAGCCCTTCAGGTCGGTCAGATCCTTTCTGTTCTTAGAATCGTGGAACTCAGGGTATGCTTAGAGGGTGGTAGGTACGCTCATAAGCCCTGTAAGCTATACAAGAACCCTCCTCATCCTCAGGGTCGGCGTACTTCGGTACTAGGTCCCCCTAACCCTCCAAGTAGCTGAACACAAGTCTTACTTTTTCTATCCATACTTTTGGGGGAGCTAAGGAGCTAGGGATAGTCTACATCAATATATTAAGGGGAGCTAAAGAGCCCAGGAATCTCCAAAACCATAGGGCAGTTTTGCTACCCTTGCTTTATCCTTGTACAATCCCTATCAGGCCAGAAGCATCAGTGTGTCTTGTTTGGCGTGTAGGGCCTAAGGTCTGAGGAAGCTCAGGGGACCATTGCGGAAATCTGTGCGTTAAGGTAGCGATGTTTTGTAGGATACCTTCAGGTTCTTCTGCTGGGAGGTTCATGGTAAGTATTACGCAATAGCTGGTATTTGTGACTTAATCTCAAGATTTATTCTTTTTATCCGAGAGGTATAGCTCGAATAGGGTTATTTCCCTGAATCTCCCCGATAGTGGTCCCCTTATTCAATTGAATGTTTCAAGAGGGTTTGGGGTTGACTGGGATAAGTAGGCGGCTGAAGTGTGATCGGGCTTTTTGGCCAAGGGCTTCGGCTTTTCAAAGGCCAGCGCAGTTTTTCTGGGGTTTACGTGTTGCCCGGTGTGTGAACGCGCAGACCATCGCCACCAAAACATGGTGCTTCAGCAGGAGATTTGTATTTCGGCTGCTTGAGGACGTTTGCAGGTATGGGAGGGAGGAAGGTATGCGCCGCGAAGTAAAAGCCCATCTACCCCTGAAAATAGTGGAATTCGTGATACGGGAGCCAAGTTGTGATCCTCGTCTCATCACAGACAGTTGAAGCCTGACCCTAAACCCTAAGTGGTATCTGGGGGGATGGTCGCTCTTGGGGTTGGATACATATTCCTACCCCCTAAAACTGAGGGTATGTAATCAGAAAGGGACCATAATTTTCAAAAACCTCTCATCTATGCCCGACTGATCAGGATATGTCTCTCCTGACCAGCCACATAGCTGGCAGCTCCCGCAACTCGATAGCAACGTGTGTATGCTTCGAGGGATTACCTAAAGTTGTTGGGGCTTTGTCGCAACTAGCTGGCCGTTCAAGAGCTTATTCTTTAGTAAACCAAAAAGAGATATAATCAGCCCTAGAAAATACAAACAGTGATCACATGTGTGCGCTGTCGAGTGTTTGTTGGCAGGCATCCTGAACGCGAATAGATAGGAAGTGTAGCGAATAGTGCTCACATTAAGGTTTCCCAACGTCTTGGTTCCATACAACATTTGATGCATATAGTTATTGCTCGGAACCCTTAATCCCATAGGGTGCCGAGTTTACCTGAAGACTCGAGTTCATTAATATGTGTAGGCTTGAGAAAAGATGGCTCGGGAAAACACAACTCCATGCCAAGCTTGCCGGGGCTTTGCTGTTAAGGGGCTTCGCTTAAAAGGATCCTGCGATGATTAGTACCTAAACCCCAAAAGTATGTAAAATAATAGCGTCCTAAACCTTAAACCCAATACAACCCCTAAACCTAGTAGTTTCCATTGTATTTTCCATTATTTTACATACGTTTGGGGGTCC